ATTTAGTACCAGGGATTTGAAGTTCTTAAATCCCTTCTGGAGGCTGCTAAGCTGTACATTTTAAAGATCACATTTAACTCAGCCCTCAGAGATACTTCTTCAGCATTTTTCTTCAGGATATGGCTGCAGGGCAGGTGGTGTCACAGGGGTGCAGCAGGTCCAGCCCTGGGACTTCAGCCACCTCTTGCAAATGTGGTGCTTGCAACACGAGTTCCAAGTAGGTTGACAGCAGTGCATTCTCACAAGCAGCAGTGCTAATTTATGTCTCCAGCAGGACGTTTCTGTACAAACTGGCTCAGGGTTCAAGTGTGATGAACTCTTAATTAGAAGGAAAAAACACCCCATGGTTTTCAAATACATTTAATGAATAAAATGTATACCCATTATTCACATAAAAATAACTTTACAATTCATAAGTCATACAGCTGACAAAAAGCAGTAACACGGTTGCAATCAAGAACTGTGACCCTTCAAAAAAACCCAAACCTCCAACACCCCAAAGCAGCCCCCCCAGGATCTTCATGTAACCCAGTCTTCGCACAAAGGCTTTTACTGTCGCTTTTCACGTCATGAGCAAAAAGTACTTTTTTTACTTACAGTTGTGGGAGTTTTCAGGTAAGTGTTCAGTCAACAAAGGTTTCGATTATACAGCAAACTTGACATTTTGGAATTCTGTTCAACTCTTGCCGTGGCAGCAAGAAACAAAAAGGCACAACGGCTTCTGCATGAAATCTTGAATCTTTCTTTAAAGGTACTCCCTTGGTTTAGAAAAGCAGGATTGTTTCCAAAAAGTGGTCCTCCAAAGTGAATGCTTTTTGTTGCACAGCTTGCTGCTGCTGTGCTGAGTTTCCCCTTGGCTGTAGTGGGTGCTTCTTAACAAAGAAAAAGCAAAACAACGCTGTCTCTGGAAGAGCAATAACTAAACTGCATTTAAAAGAAGGAAGGATCTCCACCAGTGTGGCATGGCTACTGCTGGTAAATGTCTTTTTAAGGGCTATTTCTTCTTAGCTGCTCTTTTCCTACATAATTACACTTTGCTAATACAGTACAAAATCTGTCAAAAATCATGAGCCAAGTTCTAGATGAGTACAGTGCTAGATCTTAAAATGGATTTACTGTAAATCTCAATCTATTTTCACCTCCACCTGCCAGACACAATGGATAACAAGAGAGATTAAAAAAAGGATAATTGTAATATTCTTCCCCTTCCAGGGAAGGGAAAGAGCAGCTATAGTCTATAAATTTTGCACTATATTATGAAACAGTCACTTTTAAAATTTTTAAAGAAATCTTTTGCAGGCACACATGAAATGTAAGTGTCTTTCAGATAGGAAAAAGTGGTTTGAGTCAAATGAGATCAAGATGATGAATCTTTTTAATATTTGTGGAGATACGAGCTTCTACCTTCAAAGCAGCGGTAGCTGGCAGCGCTATGACCTCGTGCTGAGAAGGCTCAGCAGGGCCGGCTGCCATTGCTGCCTTAAGGGGCTTATTGGTCACCTTACACCGTTTTGATCAAACCAGTACAACCAAAACACCAGATCCTTTTTTGCCTGCCAAGGGCCTGATAACGGCGACCTAAATACAGCCACCACCTTCCTCTGCGTCCTAAATGGAGCTAAAGGCAAATTCTATCTACTCCAAAGCAAACTCTGTACTGTGCAAACCAGCTTTGGTTTGTATTTGCATAGCAGTAGTCGATGGAGCACGTAAAGCCGGAAGCAGCAGCCTCAAGGATTTTAATATCTGCTATTGTAAAGACAAACCCCCCCCACAGGACAGGTGAGTCCACAGGAAAAAGGCAGAGCCTGGCTATGAAGCGTTCGGTGTCAGAACATTCTGCAGACCCGGAGGCTGTTCTAAGTGCAGTTGTATTGAGGGTAGGAACTCAAGAATTAAGATTGAGGCTTTGACCCCAACTTGCAAGTCTTATTTAGCTACAATGGTGCTCCCTGATGGATTGATTGCAGATGCCATCTGTGCAACAGCATTAGGCAGGGTGAATTAAGGACAGTTCATGCAGATTTTCAGTAGTAACCATCCACGAACAGAGGGCCAAGGAAAACACTCACAAATTAAAAGCTGATACCAGACACTGTCACGACAATCTCATCTACTCGTTGCTGGAAGTCCTTTAGGAGGTCACTCCTGGGGGTGGAGAGATGATTATCCTGTATAGCTGAAGTATCCCATATCCGAGGTTGCAGAAGAGGAGAAGAAAGTTGTCTAAAAAGATGTTGGCAATGCTGAAGTAGTGAAGAAAGAATTTCTAGCGCTCAGCCTTGGCTGCAGAGTTTAATTTTAACTGTGTTAAAAATAGAAGCATATGATAGGAACCTTAACTAAAAAATTTACAGCTACAGTATTCACACTGCGATTTCACTGCAGCGTTTCTGTTCTGAGTACCCCTCTACCTACACACCTTCACAACCACCGACCTCGGCAACACTTTCTCAGTGATGTATGGCCTTGTGTGTCTGCTCAACATGGAGAGCGTTTGTTTCTTTCACGTGAAGAAAAACAAACTGGGTTTTCACTCAACTCTCTCTTCTCAAACTGTGTGAGGGAGAAGATGGAATAGCATGCTGCAGGGCTTTATGCCCTTGTTGCCTGTATCTTCCTTGCAACGTTGTTTACAACTACTCCGAAGTTCATTGGATTCTGCTTCACATAATGGCCATATAAAACCAAGTTACAGCAGATAAGAGGTCAAGATTTATTGACCCACATGCTTAGAAGCTTCCATGCACTGGGTTCGTTGCTGGGTGCCAGTTGTCCCTGTCCTCTCAGGAGCTGCAAACTTTCAGGTTTTTTTTTTTATATATATATATATGAATGAGAGAGAGAGAATTCTATTGCTGAACAGTGTGAGGAAGGCAATAAAATACAAAATCCTAAGTTCTCATGACCTGTAATTTGCTGCGCCTTTTTCTGCCCATTGTGATGGCACATTCAAACTCCATCTAGAAGAGCCCCAGGGCCGAGCCAGGTCAGTAGTTAGGGATGACTGCAGCGGGAACACAAATCCACCAGGAATGCTCCT